GAGAGAGAGAGAGAGAGAGAGAGAGAGAGAGAGAGAGAGAGAGAGAGAGAGAGAGAGAGAGAGAGAGAGAGAGAGAGAGAGAGAGAGATTCAAAGGACACTCTTCTGTACTTGTCTCAACGTCTCTCAATTTCTGTATCCTGTTTATGTTTTCCATTGGCTGACATCATCATCATCCAAGTCCAAAGGCAATGACCAAAACGATTACCCCCCAAAATGAATACTTTCTTCCGTTGCTGAAGCTTACAGAAAGGCTGAAGTTGAAAACGTGTCAGTTTTCCAAGTTTCGTCGATGAGTAGTCAGAAATGAAGCTCTCTTCCTTGCATGTCTTTGCACGTGTGCCTTACATGCATACCCACACCCTCCCCCTTCTGCATGTGTTGACAAAAGAACACAGCATTTGCTGAACTTTGACCCTTGATTGCACCAGTGCATGCCACAGACTCGGATCCACACTGCCGTAGATATCATTCATCCCTTAGGTGTTATGATGGCAGTCTGTACGATCCAAGAATATCTGCCATACCAATGCTTGCCTCCATCGGTCCGCATCCTTCAATCCAGCATGCCTAATGAAGAGCATAGAAGCATGCAAGGACCACTTTTTTTGACCGAAATTTCCAAGATCGCCACTTTTTGGGATGTCCAAGATTGCTGTTTTGCATTAATGGGGCAAATATCCTTGCTCAGGGTGCACAACGGGCGATCACGTGTCATGCACCACCTCTAGGCCTGACTGTGGTAGGTTGTTGTAAAGCAACGCAACGCCTGGATACTGGCATGTTGTAGGAGAAGTGTGGCACCAAGCCTAGAGCGTATATATGCATCATGCACAGCGTGTGCGGTACGGTAGAATTATTACCCCCTTCCAATCCCCTGCCCCCGACCATCATGGCCAAGGGGGGATAGTTAAGTACGTTGTCAAAAGGGTGCGTGAAACAATGCAACATATGTCGTGCTGGTGTGTGCGCAGTAGTGGCTCAAGGAGTTCGTTATTTACTCTTAAATTGCACGGCGGGTCTCGTAAGATGCTCCCGTGTCCCGGAAGATGCTGTCGATTGGGCCCAGCATGTTTTTGGCAGGTTGATTGTTCGCTTCCGGGTGTGTCTTTTTTTGTCTCTTGCGATTTGTCGTTTTTTTTTCCTGTGGCGCAACTGTTTCCTCTTGTGGGTGACTGTTAGTGCGATCTGCGGTTTTTCCAGGGGTTGGTCTGCTGATGTTTGAATACCAGTACACAGCAGACCAGCATCCCAGGGCATCTCAGGCCACTACAACTTCCATGGATGTATATGAGGACTTTTCTCACCCTGCTTGGATGCACCTGACAGCAATTATGTCCACGTACAAGTGGAAGAAGTCCCGGTGTGCGTATACCCTCAAAAAAAAAATGTGTTTTTTTATTTTCCAAAAGGGCGACGGCCCTCAACTGTTCTTCTGCAGATATTGCGGACGACACGGGCGCGGTCATTGGCCCCGTGCTCCTGCAGCTTGAGTATCTGAAAGAGGACCTGCACACCTTCTGCAAGTACTCAGGGGCCCAGGTCAACCGGGAAAAGTCGTGCACAATTGTGCCCAGAGACACACGGGTCCCAGGAGAAGGGGACATACCGGTGGCAGAAAAGGGAAGAGCATACCCTTCTTGGAAGCGGACGGTGCAGAAGGCGGAGTGGGGAAGGACAAATAGCAGCCCTGGTGGCAAAGGCTATCTCGAGACTGGCGACATGGAAGGGGAGAACCAGCATGGGGGTGCACATGCCCGCAAAAGGCACTTTTGGAATAATAATGATGGCACTGCAAGCCTATCTATGGGCAAGCGAGACGGAAGGGAAGGACTTTATACCCAGGTGTCATGGTCCAAACTGACTCAGCCTAGGGGAAAGGGAGGACTGGTGATAATTGACCCCCAAATTCCCCCCAATGGCAAATCCTGGCGTTGCAGATGCGGAATGTGCTATGCCACTTAAGTGTGCAGATAACTGAAAAAAGGAAAACAAAAAAAAAGGGTGAAGCTTAGGCAAATTCGCATATATGTTTTCAAAGCTTCAGTCATTTGAGTGTGCAAGGAATATGAGCGAGAGCGATAGACAGAAACCCAAGTGGCAGAAAGCACCATGCACCAAGATTCCATCCACACACTTCGGTCACATCAACACTGTATCCAATATCGCTCACTGTCTGGCGCTCAGCACCCAGCCTACTCTACTCAGCCTGTCTAGCCCATCTATGTTCACGCAACTGGGTCACACCGAAGTCAAAGACCAGTGTACGTGACGTCAACACTAATGCCGATCACCAGCATACACCAGGTACGTTCTCTCTCCTCCCCTCATCACCCCTTGATCACCTCCTCATGTGCCTCCTGACCGAAGACCATCACCGCCATCACCTGCATTGCGCCCCTGCAGCCCGGCTATGGCTGCTGTGCGCCCGCTGCCTCGCAGCGCCCCTCTCACCTCAGCGCCCGTGCGCGGGCCCGGCCCACAGCGCCCATGCAGACACCAGCGCAGCAACGCCACAGCGTGTCCGCAATGCCTGCCAAGGCCAGACTGCCCCTCTCGGTGGCTCACACTTTCCTTTATGGAAAGTGTGTCGCTGCTGGGTGTCCTGGCCAGGCGTTTGGGGGGGCCCAGTAGCTTCAGCTGGGCCCCAAGTGTCTGCGCCCAGGGCCAGTTTCCGAAACTGGACTGGGCCTCGTGCAGTTAGGGACGTCCAGGCAGACACCCTGCCTCTAAGTGCTTGCAGCATTCTCATTGGCTCGCGGGACATGTGTGACGACAATGCTGCTTGCTCAAGTGTCTGTGCCCAGGCCCAGTTTCTGAAACTGGACTGGGCCTCGTGCAGTTAGGCACGTCCAGGCAGACACCCCGCCTCCAAGCGTTTGCAGCATTCTCATTGGCTCGCGGCACATGTGTGACGACAATGCTGCTTGCTCATTGGCCCGTAACCAGTCCGGGATATGTCGGCCTCACACAGCGCGTGCCCAGGGCGCAACCGCCTGAGACCTGGGCTCAACTGTACAGCGCAGCCCTTTCCTTCTGGAAAGAGCCTGGAGGCTCGCGTTGCTCTGTATCCAACTGGCATGCTGCAACTGTCGAGTACCCACATATGGAAAAATTGTCGAGAACAGGCCTCATGTGGATATTCAGGCCCGCCTTAACTTAGGGCGGGCACGAGGCTTGCTGGGGGCCACGGCCCAGAACACTTGTATGTCTGAGAAGTGCTCCGCGAGGCTCATTCCTCACACATACTAAAACATTTACAAAACTAAGAAAACATAATAAAACCTTGAGAAAAGCAAACTTACCTCAATGTCAAGCCAGGGGTATCTCTGCCGCAGCACCTTAACCTGCATGGATTGCCATGGAGTTTCCAGGTTAGTTAATTGGATTCATATGCAAAAATAACGCACAGTAACATAATCATTAATCAAGCACGTGAAAGGGGGGAAAAAAGGAACTCTGCGCACAGCTCTCTTTTGTCATGTATGCAGAAGCTAAGGAAAAATGACTCCGTAAATTGGCATTTATCACAACACATCTGGCAGGGCAGGGAGGCAGTAGATTCAATCAGAAGCTCAAAATTTTTTCATTCCACAATTGACTTTCTCTCAGAATGCATCTGGACGTACATACAGACATCAGCAACATGAGCTGTTAACTGGACAGAATGTGTCCAAGGTCTGTTCTGGTCAGGGTCTATTTAATGGTGACTGCAGAAACACAAATGCAAACCCGGCGAGCCAAGTGTGAACCATTCTAGTATTCTGATCCGTACTTTAGGGCTTCAGGCCCCGCTGTGCACACACGGCCTCGAACCGCCACCCTCCGCCACAGGAACCAAGTCTCTTAACCACTACAGCCAGGACACAGTGTTCAAAAGTGAAACCATACCGACGATGATACCCCACCCTTTATCCACAGGTTCAACAGGCGCCTTTCACAGTAGTATTCTGATCCGTGAACCATGTCCTTTTCCCCAAAAGAAATCCCATCTAATTCCTCTGCAGTTCATTTCGTTTCACACTTGCAAGCAAAATGAGCAATAGCGAAATGGCAGAATTCCATATTGCAAATCACATCGAAAACCAGATAGTCGAACGCTGTCCAGAAAGCAGAATTGCACAGATTACACCGAAGTCAACCAAAGCAATGAACTCAATTGTCAATGCAAGCATATTCTCGCCACCACCAACAGTGCAATCGTAGCTCTTCCTCCTACTGGCGCTCAGCGCCCAGCCTACTATCCTACAGCTACTCTACTAGCAACGAAATGACAAGCAACTTGTTGATGTCAGCAGCAGCAACCGAAGTACATGCAGATGTCGACCATGCAGACCATCGCTAAGACCAGGTATGTGCCCTCACGTCATCATCCTCATCTCTCTCACCGAGCACCCTCGTCTTCTTCACCCATGTTTTCTTACTCTACCACGAAGGCCACCACCACCTCCACTGACTAAGTTCAGCCCGGCTATGGAGGGCTGAGCTATGGCGCTGCCACAATGCAGCGCCCTCCTTCCACACTACCGCACGCGCGTGCACACCAGTGCTAGCGCACGCTCAAGCAGCGCTGCCGCACTCTGACGAAAGTGCCGGAATGCCGAGTGCGTAGCCCGACACTTTCCTAAATGGAAAGTGGCGGACTCGCTGCCTGCCGCCTGCCTCGTGGGGCCGAGTTTCCAGTAGCTTCATTCTCGGCCAAAGTGTCTACGCCCAGGCCTGTTCAGACAGTGGCCTGGGACCAAATTGGTTAGGCATGCCCAGCCACCCAAGCTCAAATGTGCGGTGTTCCCTGCTTTCACCACGTTGCTGGAATAGCCTGGAAGACTAACAAATATTTCAGATTCTCACAAGCAAGGCGGAGGTAACCAACTGGCACGTGGCAACTGTCTGGTGCCCACCAAGATTTGCAAAAATTGACGAATTCAAGTCTCATTGGGATTCATGGGCCTGCCTTCACTTAGGGTTGGCACGCATCCATTGCTGGGGCCTCATACAAGTATGCCGAGGGATAAAATCCTCACACACTTGTAAATATGAATTAATTTCCATTTATATATTCAATCAGTTCAACCAATATGCAATCAGACTCGCTCTCATTCACACTTCTCATGCATGCAAACAGGTGCGCTGCAATCTGGCGACAAGCACCCACTCAGAACTCAGAGATATGGTAACCAAGAACACAGATCAGATACAAGTTCACTTCGATGGCTATGGCGACGCAGCGCCCACACAACTCTCTGTTCGCATACACCGGATCACCCTGGATATCCCACACGCGATACTCTGAACACACACACACACACACACACACACACACTGAACTCTATCTACAGCTATGGCGGCTATGGCCGCTACTACCCTATCGCTATGGCTACGCTCCTTCTCTCTCGCCCMCTTCGTCCTCGGGCTCACTGCAGACCACCTCCCACAAGTCGCTTGTGGCGGCGCTTCCGCATGGCTCATGCAGGAATGAATGAATGGCTGGGCGCTGCCTCTTGATTTATACTTCTGCAGCTCGTTGGCCTGGCCCCTTTTCCATGGCCGTAGTGCACACAGTCCCATGCCGTACTTGCTTGACTGGACCAGGACTGACTAGGTCTGGGACTGCTGACTCAGCACGGGTGGACTCCACCACTTGCCTCACCACTTGCCCACTTGCCTCAGCCTAACCGTGGGCAACTTCGAAAGGCCACTGCTCGGACCTTCCGGAAGGCCGTAGACTTGGCCTTTCGATACTGTAGCAGCTACGACCTTGACCTTTCTGGACTGTAGCAGCTACGACCTTGACTCTTCGAGAAGGCTACAGCTACGACTTCTAGATCTGACTGAGACTCCTACTCGACAGGTCTACAGATCGAACCCCTGCTACCTATGGACCCTACGACAACCTACCAACTGTTACAAATACACAGGTCACGGGTTCAACTCTAGAGGTCGACACAGATACTGTACACAGGTAACGTGGGGACTAGGGATCGAGCCCTGGGATCTGCATCGGCTACTGCGAACTGGTGAATACCGTTTCACTCCCGCCGGCCTAAATTCGAGGTCCTCCGAGAATAACTCAGTCCAAGGCAGGACCTTTACCTTTCTGATCTCTGTCGTAGGCTCTAACTATATCGGGAGCTGTCTCTAGAAGTTCTGCTCTAGTGAACCAGCGGTCGTCCTCCAATTCCTGATACGCAAACCGGACCTTATACTGCTTCTGAGGACGGCCTCTACCTCCTGTTCTGAACACATCTTCACCTACAATGCCGTCAATGTCATATCTTTCGTCCATGTCTGGAGGGATCATGGACCGTCTAGATGGAAACTGTTGACTTGTGACACACGACCGCAACTTTGACGTGTGAAACACAGGGTAGGTGTGGAGGTGTGCTGGGATTTCTATGGTGTAGAACGGCCCATCCTCTCCGCCTTTAACTTCTAGAACTGGCCACGGTCCTCTATATGCAGGCAGTAACTTCTGCGAGATGTTTTCCTCAGGAGCAAACTCTTTGGACTTGGCCCAGACCAAGTCGTCTACTTGGAACTGTGACGAGCGACGGTGCTTATTAGCCTGTTCTATCATTCGGTGCTGGGCCTTCCTGAGGTTCTCAACAACAGTGGCTATTTCTTTCTCGTGCTGTATCGCGAACTCCCTAGTACCAGGTGGTAGCCTGTGAATCTGATCCCGGTCAAGTCCCTCAAACGGTCGACGTGGTCTAAAGGACTTGTGCAACTCGTTGGGAGTGCGACAGGTGGACAAATGTACGCTGCTATTGTATGCACTAGCTACCTTGGGTAACATCTCGTCCCAGTTAATCTGATCGGGTCTAATGTACATACGCAGAACTTGCTGCAGGATCTTGTTCATCTGCTCTGTCTGACCGTTAGTCTCTGGATGCCGGCCATACGACATCAACAACTTAGATCCATAGACTCTCATCAGTTCCTGCCAGTTCTGGCTGGTAAAACGGGTATCTCTATCACTAACAATCGACAATGGGACGCCATGCTCACTAACCCAAAAATCGAAAAACTTCTGAATAACTAACTCTGTACGTGCCTCTGCAGGCAAAGGAAATCTAAAATAGCATACTTGCTAAATCTATCGACTACCACCATGACTTGGCTCTTGCCGTGCCTACTCTTGACACCGGCATCCATGAAGTCGACGGAGGCTGGTCTGGAATAGGCAAGGGTCTGAGAAGACCTAGAGGGGCACGCGTAGTAGTCTTGTTCCTTTGACAGACTTTACAACTGCGGACATACTCTATGCAGTCGTTTTTCATTCCTGGCCATGTATACGCGTGCATGAGATTGGCCAAAGTCTTTTGCCAGCCGAAGTGTCCCTCTGTATCATGGCATTCCCCTAGGATCAAACTGCGGATCTCCTCACTGTTGGGAACACATAGGCGGTCTACTACATTAGTCTTCTCAAATAATAAGCCCTCTGTAGTGCGGTAATCTGGCTCGGTCTCTAGGGCCTCCTTAACCTTCTTGAGGAGGTCACTATAGATAGGGTCCTGCGCATACGCCTGTCTAACTTTCTCTTGCAGGTCATGCCCTATGTCCAGATAGTGAATTATAGCTCCACCTGTCTATCTCGGCGGCCCACCTAGTCAACTTAGGTGTCATTTTGGCCTGTGTCTTCAGCCATCTAAGCGTTTTGTGGTTTGAATACACCTTGAAGTGCCTCCCAAGCAGGTAATGCTTCCAGTGCTCTAAGGCCAGCCTGAGAGCGTAGAGTTCTCTCTCATACGTCGAGGTGGCTACCTTCTTTGAAGGCATCCTCGCTGACATGAACTCTACGGGTCTGTAGCCATTGCCGTCGTCCTGTTGTAACACGGCGCCTATCACATAGTGACTCGTGTCCGTGGTGACGACAAATGGCAAAAAGACGGATCTGCTACTTTGAGGACAGGGTATTCTATCAACGCGCGCTTCAACTTCTTTAGCGCAAAAGTACAGTCTTTATCCCATTGCCAGATCGCTTCTTTCTTGAGCAACCTGCGAAGGGGAGCGGCGATAGTCGAGAAGTTCCTCATGAACTTCCTGTAATAGTTAGCTAGGCCTAGGAACGACCCCAACTCTGTCAATGTGCGGGGCGTCACCTAGTCTCTAATTGTCGCTATCTTACTGTCCTCAGGCTTAATGCCATCTCCGTCTAACACGTGACCCAAGTACAGGACTTGTGTCTTGGCCCACTCGCACTTCTTCGCATTGATCTTGAACTTAGCCTCTCGAAGCTTCTCCAAGACTTGCCTCAAATGACCCTGGTGTTCCTGGAGGGTGCTACGGAATGCTAGAATGTCGTCTAGGTAAACTACGACGAATCTATCCAACCAAGGCCTCAACA